TGTAGCTGCAGTGGAAGACATGGGAAAGAACCTCTTCCCCCTCAAATGGGAGATAATAATGGTTACAAGTACAGTAACTATCACAAATTTTAAACACTCTTGTTCACTGGAAGCACTTAAATGGCTCCTGTATGTACCATCCTCATCCCCTTGAGCTGTGGAGTGTGACAGGATGTGGGGCTTTAGTCAGAGGCTGGGCAGCTGTGGGCCTTAATGCTTGTTGTCATCTTGTGTGCTGCTGAAAATGTATGTCCATCTCTCTCTCCCTTGCAGCAGTTGAGGTAACCCAGCTTGACCTTTCTGTGGTGGTTGCTGATGTAGCATGTGTATGTGCTCTGAGTATTGGCTTTGCAGCTGAAGAGTGCAGCTTGCCCCAGGCCCAGCCTGGAGGCTCAGTGCCTGTGGCTGCGAGGGCAGAGCCACTGACCGCCGGCCGCTCTTGTTTTCCCTCTCTCCCGCAGTACTTCCACAAGACGGTGGGTCAGCTGCTGCCCCTGGCCTACACGCTGCTGCAGCGGAGCCTGTTTGCCGAGATCATTCAGTCGCACTTGGCCAACCGGCGGGAGGAGCCGCTGGACCAGCTCGCTCCCTGACCCGGGCGGCCGCCTTCTTTGTGTCCCTGTCCGTGTGTCCGTCCGTGCTCTTCTGTACGGCGCGGCCGCGCCCCGCGGTCAGTAAAGCTTTCCGAAGGCAGGCTGCTCCCTGTGCTGCTCTGAGCGCCGCGGGGTCAGGCCACGGCGGTGGCGCACCGTGCGCATGCGCGGAGGGCAGGAGGCGGGGAGGAACATGGTGCAGGGCAGCGCTGGGGCACCCGCCCGCGAGCAGGGGCGCTCCACAGCCCCCGGCTGCGGCAGCCTCGGCCCGGAAAAGCGGTGGTGCAAGGAGTGCTCGCTGCTGGCCGTTACGAGGCACGGAACGGGCTTGCCGCTGTTGTTACGTTTCCTAGAGACACGGGGGGGGGCGGTCCTGCCATGCATTGGGTGGATGCGTTGGTGCAGTAGAGTTGCTACCGGCCACTTGAATCCACCCAGCCCCGTTTCTTTGCTACAATTGAAGTCTGCCCCACCAGGCAGGTAAACCTTCAGTTACAGCAGCGTTCCCTTCTGCGTGAAAACAAACTACTAAATCGGCTCCAGCAGCCGCATCTGGCTGTGGGTTACCAGGAATCAGATGGGATTAAAAACCAGCTGATGTTACCAGCTAAATCAAAAAATCCACTGCAGCTGAGAGAAAGCCACTCCCTGTTTTCACTAATCGGGACACAATCGAGATCGAATTGTTTCCAAGCTGTCTGCTGCTTATTTCCTGCTACTGCACCTAACAGTTTCATCCTTGAGCAAATGCTTGAAGTAACAGTCAAAAACCAGGGGAGAATAGTGCCTGCTCTCTTGCAGGCTGCCAGTATACAGTGACCTGTCCTGTAGCAGGTCACATCGCTGCTGCTGACAGCAGCACTGACAAGGATCACAGGCTGGTAGCAACATGCCCATATTTCAAAGCTGTCACTATCTTTTTAAGAAAACGTTTGTACTTCCAAAGGTCCCTCCCATCCAGCATAAACTAATTCACAATGCAGGCTGAGTTCTGCAAAAGCATCTGCAGTTTTAAATGAAAAATACAATCACGTGCCACATCTTCTTTGGTATCCTTGACACCCCCACCCTTTCACTCAGCATAGAAATGTTCCATTTATTCAGACAGAAGCACTAGCGTATATGGACACTTCCATGGGCCCAGAATTTCATGTTTTATAATAGGAGGTACTTCCTTGAAACTTCAGTCTTGCTCCTCCTTACTTTTTAGGTTCCAAGTATGAACGACCTTTACATGAATGCCCTGTAACTCACAGAAGTAACAAGAACTTTTTTTTTTTTTTTTCATTTGCTTACTGGTTTTGTATGTAAAATTTCTAGTGGTTAACTTTTTCCCAGGGAAAACAAATACAGAAATCAACACACATACTGGTGGTGAAAACAACAGCAAAACATGACAGAACAATAAATGGTCATACAGAAGTTTTTAATGTTTGATTAAATCATCACAGTAATCAGAATTTTTACTGCAATGATATGCAGCTCTACCACACTATTATAAATAAAAACATTAAGATCAATATTAAATACAGCCCTAGGCAACATCACAGATTAACAAAGAATGCATTCTTCATGAACCAGTAACTGAACGGTTTAAAGAAAACCTAAAAAACGCTGACATTTCCCCTCCCATCCACCACATTCATATTTTTCCAAATTGGTAACTTGAGTAAGGCGCTGGAAGCTGTACGGTTGAGAACTTTGTGTTGCACAGCACAGGCAAACAGACATCATTATAAGAACCTCTTAAGCATGTTTTAAATGTCAACAGGGAAAGCGCAGCAGGTAAGAAAAGAAAAGAGATGCACAACTGCTATGCAGCACTTCGCATCCATACTGAAATTCTGGGTGTGAACTGCACTTCAGGTGGTCTGCAGAATCATATGGACAGCTGTGATTTATGAGAACATCAGACATAGCAGAGGTTTCAAAGTGGTTTAAAACAGGGTTTATAGGTGTAGTGTGTTTATTCTTACACTGTATAAAAAAGTAAAAGACACCAGAACTCAGCAGCATGGACAACTTGCAGAGTTGCCTCTGGGAATGGCCACATCCTACTCATTATGTAGCTTCCTCTGCAAAGTTCCTTCAGGAACTGATTCTGAACCACAGACACTGACTTCATGTGGAGGAATACAGCTGGTTCTGCCACCCTCCCACCTTAACACAGCTCAATGCCCTGTTTCAGGGGCCTTCTTAATACTGGGGCTGATAACCACGAGCCCACTGGCACATTTTGCTTCCTACTGGTTCCCATTGCTGCACGAGATGAGATGATGGCTGTAGATGGCAGTTTTATACTCAAAAAAATTGTTAAAACAGCAGAGCACTTAAGCACAGGCATTGTTTTAGATTTGCCAAAAGTACCAGAATGCCAATTCAGTATCTTATGTTTAAAATCTACCATGTACTTGCAAATAAAAGACATTTGTGGTAACCCTGCTGAATGCCTTAGAGATACCTAGGATTGTTATTGTGGACTTTTACCATTTATATGCTTACAACTTTTGCAGTCTTGGGAGTGTAATTGTTAAAGAAGGAAATTTTACCTAATCCCATACTCTAAAGCATGATTTTTGTCAGCCGGATTTCTTGATTCTCCCCCTGCCCCTGAGGCTTACAGTATATTGCCTTTTCTCCTCTGCATGTGCTTGTGGTGGCTTGTTATAATGACTATGAAACAATCTAGTGCTGGGGAAAAACTTAGGGACCTGCCAGTTCACCTGCCAGCATGTGTGCTGCTGCTGAATGGTAAAAGTCCTGCCAGAGTTTCAAGTACTAGATTAGGTTCTGCCCCGCTGCTCACCTCCTGTAGCTATGTATCATTTACACCTCTATACACTTGAAAAAGAAAAAGTCAAAAGCAATCTAATACTTACAGTTGCTTTCCTGCTATTATTTTTAAACCCTGCAATTTTTAAAAATAAAATTTTACTATTCCTCTTCCAGTTATCTGCTACTAAAGGGAAAAGGAAACCTCAAGGTAACGGCAGTGAGAGTTGTATCTGAAAATGATCTTGCGTGTGTTGGATCATAAAGAAACCATTTTGTTTCAACCCTTCATCTAGTTGTAAACATTTGTTAATCCTCTGTTCCGTGCAGAGGATTCTGAATTATTCTACAAAATCACATTAAAAAGGTAATTAGTTATGTGAGATATTAACTGATTCATATTTAATAATTTTTAATCCATACAAATATAAATAAAGAATGGGAAAACCTCAAGAAAAATAATATACATTTAGTGCAAGTTATGAGTTACATTTCTTCCTACCATGTCAGCAGTGGAACAGCTTTTGTGGAGAAGAGAAAAATAAAAATGACCTTTCTCAAATTTTACGGGGGGGGGGAAAGATCTCCAGTGTTGTAGCATGCAGTTTTACCAGATACACGTATACAGAATTGTTCCAGCTCTTAACTAGTAGAATAGCAGTATTTATCCTTATACTGCACACCATTGGTATATATCATGTGTTTTTAATAATACAAAAATTGCATAAGACCAGGTCACATTATTGATATTTTCTGCAGCAAAACCAGTATCTTCATTTGAAACACTCATTTTGCCCGGTTTTAGTTTTTCTCCTACCCCAACGGCACATGGGTTGAAAGGAGCCTTGCACAGTTCTCACAAGGTATTACCTGTTCAGTCTGGTTTTGTCGCAGTGCATCTGTACCGCCCCAAGCATTTCATGATGTACAAACTTACACGATTAATGGCACAAGAAAAACCTCCCTTCTTGTGATCAAACCTCAGTAACTCACAGTACATCTCAATATGAGAATCAACTGCTTTGAAAGGGCACACCAATTTTAAAGAGGCTTTGTTACGGCTCAGGAGAGAGAGAAATAAAGCTCTTCTGGAATGTAGAAAGGTGACGTGTAATAATACATTTCATGACTTAACACAACAGTTTCAATGGTGAAAAGGGCAAGACCTTTCAGTTTCCGTAAGATGGCTCGAATCGGAATGATCCCTCCAGAAACAGGGATTAAGAACACATCTCTTCAATGCTGAAGTACCAGGCTGGGGCTGGAGAATTGTGCCACCTCGCACAGCTCACCCACTGCACTATCATGGCAGACCTGACATCTCGGGACGCATCCAGTGCAGGACAGCAGCTCTCCCTTCCCATGCTCCCATCAGCCTTCCTCCTCCTTGCCACATATTCCCCCAGACCAACTCCTGATTTCCAGCAGCACTGTCACACAAAAACCCAGCTCTCGTCTCTGATCTTGGAAGCATCCCCCAGACTAAAGTGTTGTGCTATTCAACAAATGAACCTCCTCTTCCGTTTCCTCTCTCTCCTCAGCTATGGGTTTCAGTTGAACATTATTGAGGCGGGGTCTTGGTTTGCCGTCTGGGCCATATGACGGAGGATATCTTTTTTTGTTATAATGCCAAGGAGGCGCCTGAAAAGGACAAATGGAAAATCGGCATTAATCCGAGCAGGAAAAAATAATAAAGCAGAACAAATCTGTAGCCAAGTCCTTTTTGTTGACAGGAATAGAGCAGAAGTAAAAAGCCTGATTTTCTTATTTAGACAAGAACATTTTATTAACTGAAATACTGAGGAACCACCCGTTTGTTAAAAGACAGCAATGCTGAGACACTGTATTGGATGGTCTCTGACAGCTGTAGTCTGTTTTGATGAAATACAAGGAATACAAGCAGAGCCCATGACAATTTTTTAACTTTTTGTGTCTACAAAAATGAAATTTTGATTAGCGTATGCCAACAAAAAAGTAACAGAAGAGGGACAAAGAAAAAAGAGGCATGAAAAAAGAAGTGATATTGATCCTGTTTCATAAGGGAGGCATGTTCCAACCTAGCCATCACAAGTAACATACCACTTGATGGCCCAAAATCCTGAGAGCAAATCAAACTCCCCTTCCCTCCATTTGTAATTTGTAATGATCCTGCCAGTCTGATGCACTGGCTCAGGCTGAACGTATTCATAGGAGCACACCATATGGGCCACGGAGGTTTTGTAAGACAAACATGTTAACCAGGGTTTGGAGTTCACTGCTTTAGAAAACAAATTGAGAATAATAAAATAGAATTTTCATTTTCCAATTCTGACACTGTGCTCTTATGACAGGGTCTTCATGGCTTTAGAATTGTAACTCTGCAAAATACCAAGAAGGTTGAGACTTTCCAAAAGGATAATATCACAGGAGAAGCAAAGAGCAGAATGAATGAGCTGTTGCCCTCGTTACTGTGGTTAGTACATTTCATATTAAAGGACGCATGAAATACTTGTGAAATATTAGCATAAAATGAGAACATAATTAGCATGTTTTGCACATAAGCAGCTAAACTTGGTGGGTATGTTTAGTAGAGAGGTAACTAGAAACCCATGTCCAAATTAAGACAAAGTCTACCATCTTGCTAAGGTTAGTTCACAACATCATGGTTAAAACAGTATCTATCAATCAATCGACTGAAGTCAACAGTCAGTACAGTAGCTGCCACTTGGTGGCTTAGGATATCAGTGAACATTTTACAAAGGAGTACATGAATTGCTGCAGGGAACAGCAGCAGAATCACAGGACTTTACATAATATCACAGAATTCACTAAAAATAAGAGTACTTTTAAAAATACCACATTGATCAAGGGGGATTACAGGGAAGATCTAATGCTGCGGTACATTAAAAATGTGCTGGGTTTTGCTTCTCAAAAGACAAGACACTTTGCTATCTGACAGCTATTTAAAGCTGTCAAGGTCAGAAAAAGAAATTGGCATATATGAAAATCTTAATTTCCATTATTAGTCACGGAAGAAGTATTCCTAGCTGTGTGCTTTCCCACCTGGGGAAATCAGCAGATCAACTGCATGGATCTATGTTACCTCAAGCACAGAAGTATCAGAAAGTCTATTGTTTAGTTTCCTTTAATGTTGTGACTAACAGTACATCCATATTAACAGCTTCATTTCTACCAAAGGATTTTGCACATGTTGTTTTATGGCTTAGTAGAAAGGTTTAGCGTAAGATGATTTCATTGTTCAGCCGATGTCATAAAAGCCCTGAACAGTTCACAAGTTTCATGCTTCCTGACTTCTAATGTGTCTAATTATGAGATCTGATATATCTAATCACCAAGGGTTCGACGTGCTGCTTTAGTTGCTCGAGATGCTCTAATATGTTCTTCTTTGTGATGATCCCCAAGACAATCCTGAAACAGATCATGTTATGCTAATAACTGTGTGTGAAATCAAATAAAAAAAAGTTCTATAATGAAAAAGGATTAGAGCAAAATAGAAGAAAAAGAATGGTTGCAGGAAAGCTAATGAGATGATTCAATGAAAAATGATCTGAAAGTCAGTACCCCTTTCCCAGACTTCTCCCAAAATGCTGAATACAACTGCATCTTCAACCACCCCAGAGTAATATGTTTCTTGTATCAAGTACATGGCTTCTCCCTTCTCCCCACTTTTACATCTCTTCAGGTTTTAAGAGGCCCTGAAACAAAAATCTCTTTATTTCCTTGGTTTAGTAGTTACTTCTCACACATACAGATATTATTCAAAATTTTAACAAACCATAGTAAATGAACACATTAATAACTGTGTAAAGTCACAGCAGTTTAGGTTTGAAGCGGCTTTATACAGCAGTGTTACCTGGTATGCCTACAAACAGACAAACTCAGACAAATTTCTAATTCTTGACAGTATAATCAAGAGCAACTCCCTGGAATGTGTATTCTGGTACAGATACAGGAAGAATGAGACTCAGTCTTTATGTAATTCTCTGTCACCAGCACCAATTTCTGCACGGTTCCTATTCCAGTCTGGAGTGGAATCAGTACATTGATGTGTGTCTTTACGTGGGGATGTTCAATTTGCAGGGAATTTGCCAAAATATAGGTTAGTCCTTGCTGTCCACATGGCTGTATGCCATGGCCAACTACCACTAGTGCTTTACTTATATGATCTTTCAATGGACAGTAGGCTCATGGAACATCACAAGGTCGCAAACTGAAGCAGGATAACAAAAAATGAATGTCTGAAAACAGCAAATTATTAAAGCCATCCACACTAGCTGCTGCTTTATCATAAAACAGTTAAAAAATTGAAGTGCAGTTTGACATAGCTTTGCACAATTAGGCTTTTTACAGAGCTGATTTTAACATCAATGTCAACGTTCGAGCACTTAACCATGACAGAAACTAAGAAAAAAAATCATCATAGTAAATACTCTTCATTGAAGTTCTATCAGTTCGGTTTCCCTCCCCAAAACAAGAATAACTGCGTGCCTGCACTGATTGTCAGATCATACGTCCTCTCCCCATGTGAGAAGGGTTTTTAAAGTCACCTATGCTTCTGAAAGCACACACTTGCCGTTCAATACAGGGATGCATTGAAGAGAAAAGCAGCAGGAGAACATTTAAAATAAATTTGTTTTAAAATACACCTGAGAAAATAAACTTGTAAACCAATGTGGTATTTGAGTATTTGCCACTTATAGCAGCAATCCTTTTGCCCACAGCAAAGGAAGTCCCATCCCTCTTTAGGTTTCTTGAGTTTTTCCCATAGACACTGATCCTAAATAAGGTGGATTAGCAGACTGTGTTTCACTCCCCAGGTGCCTTCAAAGACATGCTAAAGAGAAAGCAAGACACTGTGGTAGGAGGTGCAATGTGTGTCAAGGAAAGCAGAATGTTAAAGGAACAGCTACACAGAAAAAAGATCATGTAAAACAAAAAAAAGTAGTAGTTTAGATAAGAGACACTTATAATGAACATTTATGTTTCCATGCTTGGGGCTGATATATTTAGTAGGTAATCACATGACAACTCCCTATAGTATCATTACAGACATTCTAAATCTTAGAATAGAATCATAGAGTAGTTTTCTTGAGATGCTTTGAAGTGTAGAAACAAAAGGTGCACATTGAAGTTCCAGAACTACCAGCAGTTACTTAGTTGTTAGTATTTTGAAACCAAGAGCTTGGTGGTAATCACCATCACTGAACTCCAGAAGAGGAGACAAAGATTGAATCATTATCTCCCACTATTATTTTTTTTTACAAACCCAGGTATTTGTAGCCGTTCAACAGCAGACACATTGCACAGAACACAGATAAAAACAAGGAAGTGCAGGCCTTGGACTGTGTACCACACAACTAAATTGTCTTGTGTGGTGCACACACATGTGGAGGGGTTGTGTGTCCTCCACATGTGTGTGCAACAGCAAGTTGCACACACAAAACTTGCTGAATGTGAGTTTTTAACAGAACATCTTAAAATAACTGAGATCATCTGCCTGCTTAGGTGGAATATGAGGGCGAAGTAAGAATTTAAGAGCTGTGTCACAGCACAGCACCTTCTTAGCAAACAGTTAGGGCCCTCAGTTGCAGTACCAAAAATAGGGGTTCCAGTACTGTCATCCTGGAATATATCCTGGTTCAAATACTCTGATCCTGGAATTGAAAATCAGTGTATCTAACACAATGAACAGCATTGCTGCCACTTAACTTACCCGTTGTGTGTTACAAGGCACTGCCTCAGACCCAGCTTCCGGAAAATATCCACCACTATTTCCATTGGGGTGTGGTCTGTCACGGTGAAAGGGCTCATATCTAGTATGCTTCTAAGTTTCAAAGGCCGAGGGCTTTCTGCTGGAAGTGATGGGGTATGCTGGGCAAAACAGACCCTGGAGCTGCCAACAATCCCTTCCTGCTTCTTTCTAGCACTTTCTTTAAGAAAAAGAGGGAGGGGGGAAACAGGAAAGGAGGAAGAATTTATATTCTTGGAGTAAGGTAAGTTAGTGCAAACAGACAGATCAATCAACACTACCTGACTCTGATCTTATTCTCTAGATGGTGAGACTGATATACGCTATTTTGATGTGTTTCCATAGCCCTAATGAGTGTTTGTGCAGAAATCACAAAAGCCATCTACCATACAGCTTTAGCCATTCTTCAGCTACTACCTTCCTCACTCCAATAAACAACTTTTATTTACTATAAAGAGGTGGAAGGACTTAAAGAATAACGTGCAGGAAGCACACAGCTGCTAAAGAAACTGTCAAGGGGAAAGCCAATCTCAGCTGACAGTTCCCCTGTCACGATTCCAACGGCTGGAATTACTGTGGATTTGAAACCAAAGAACTCATTTCTGAGCACTCTGAAAATGTTGTCTTCTTGTTTACAATGAATTTATTTAGATTCTTCTGAACTGCCTCTGCCTTTTCACACCTTCATCACTTGGGTGACAACAGCTTCCCTCCCCATACCTAGAACTTTTCACACAAGGACTCTCTTAAGCCAGACAAAATCCAAGACTAAGGAACTTGCACCATGTGATCTCAGCATGAGCAGCTGAAATGAGTCCTACCTGTGAAAGTGTATTATTAGATGAATGTTCTGCTATTACCCCTTTAACTCTTAGGTAAATGCAAACTTAAACCAGTATGATGTCTGAATCACTTCTCAGTTTTGGATGCTTCTGTGCATCCTACGCAGTGTAATACTATGGTATACACAGTATTAAGACCATAGGCAAAAGTTTTACTGAAGTAAACAGTGTTGTGTTCACAGAACTTTTGTGGTTTTAAAGTTTCAGGAGACTTCTGTTTCTCAAGTGTCTGTTAAAGAGACAATTGTCAATGTATGATTTTATGAATAAAAAAATAATAAAAGAAAAAGTAGTTTATGATGCAATTTCCATCACTGATTTCATGCACCAGAAGTTACAGTTTTGTAGCGTTTCCTTACATAACAGTGATTTTTTTCCTTTTGTTATGATAATGTCCTCAAAATCCACAGCATTTTTCTTAGCGGTGCACAAAGCACTGTCACAAGGGTCACACAAGTTCTAATACTCACCCAGAGAATGAGGGCCCAAACAGGGCTTGTTTGCTCATGTGCAAACTTCCCATTACACAAACAAATTGAAAAGCAGAAACCTAAAGTAATAAATATTGCGCTTATCTCTCCCTAGTACAATTTTAGTTGTAACAACTGTCACAGAGAAGTGCAGCGTATGTTTAAATTTAAAAATGACTTGAACATTTTTAATTCCCACAGAATCCTGCTGTTTGAAAATGAGTATTACCCAATTTTAAAGAACAGTGTTAGTGCAGTGCCACCTGAGGAAAACAGGTACTAGCAGGCCAGGCTGGATGAGGCTTTGAACAACCTGGTCTGTGGAAGGTCTCCCTGCCCATGGCAGGGGGGTTGAAACTGGATGATCTTTAAGGTCCCTTCCAACCCAAACCGGACTGTGATTCATTCTATAAAAAGCCTCAAAACCAACAAAAATACTGGACTAGATGATGTTTTGGCCTACTTCAATATGGTGTGGTTTTATGACAAAGAGATTAGTATTTTCTCCACTTCAAAGCTTGCCATTGAAGGTAGTCATATACCTCCATAAAGAAACAGCCATAAAGTCATATACCTCCATAAAGAACAGATTTTGCAGGGTATCTGAACCTGAAGTAAGTCTAGTAACATACAAAGTAAATTGTGTTTTAAGCTATAAAATCATTTAAATTGGTATATATAATCATGCAAGACTGTTAGATAATTACCTATTGCAATAGTTAAATCTCTTCTTAGAGCAAAGCCCACTAGTCTCTGCGATTCTTTTGACATAATAACAGGAAAACCATTATAGCTGGTTTCGTTGATCAAGTTTTCTATGTCTTCCACTGTCATATTATCCTGCGTCAGAACTGCTAAAGGTGGGTCGCTTCTTCGAGGTCGCATAACGTCAGCAGCCAGTGTTGTGTGAGTAAATTCTTCCTTTGCATCCAAGAAAGGATATCCATTCAGTCGGATGTGCGCCTCATATATGCCTTCCCTACCAAAGGCATCTCCTACCCACTTACTGGTCATGACTGCAGCCATTAGGGGCACAATATATTCCAGACCTCCTGTTAGCTCAAAGACAATAACTACCAGGGACACAGTCATCCTTGTCACACCACCTGCAACAAAAAAATGGTAAATGGTAGCCAGTAACATTCTGGTATCAAATAATGATGAATTCAGAATTTCCTGCCTTCCCATTGAGGACTACAAACATAACTTTGTCATTAAAGATCATCTGACACGCATCATTATGTATAATACAAACAAAAGCAGACAGGAAAAGTGAACAAAAAGCTGTCAGAAGTAAAGAAAAGAGCTTTAGTTCCTAGAGAGAATTAAAGGATTCAAAAAATATGTGCAATTATTTCACGTAAATCAAGAATAAAAGTGTATTTCTCCACACCACACCTAAGTTAAAAATATTGTGAAATTCAAGGAAATCCAGTAAGGTGAGAATATGGTACAATAATGGAACGAATGCACGGAAGTCACAGGTAGCAATTCAACAGCTATGTTGTCCAAAGGATTAGGATATTAATGCTGTTGTTGAATCATAAAACCTAAAGAGAATTCTGAGCTGATAAAAAGAAATGTCTTTGACAATGAGAGAAGGAAGGGATTGTATTTCTCTTTTGTTAGTACTCAAAATGTTTTTTCTGCCAAGGTTTCTCATGCCATATCTTAATTTAGGGAAAGAATATGTTCTTTCTTTCAATGCATTCAAAAGTGATTCAAGTTGAACTATTAAAAAAAACAAACAACTTCTCAAAAAACTGCATTTGTACCACTAGTTTACTTCATCACTCAAATGCATTTTACGTTAAAGAAAAGGTCTTCCTTTTGTAGAATCTGTACTAATAGATTTTAAGCTTAATTTCTAAAGCAATGAAGTTGTGAGGACAAGAGAAGGCCTTCAAAAAACCTGTCCTAGTTTAGGTGCCCAACTTCAGCCTCTTTCCACGAAGCTGACTTTCAACAGTTTGTAAATCAGACTTGTTAAAAACCCCTCAAGCTGGACTCCCCAAACCATCGGAAACCTCTGACAGTTTTGTCTGGATTATGAATCGCAAGAACTTTTTTTGCACATCGTGTAGGTGTGGCAGCTGATCATGCAGCTCCCTGTAATAATTTCAACAGTACCTGACTTTGCAAATCCTCTACTTCATACATTTCATGAAACCGGTTTTTCAGACTGGTGTGGTCAATACCAAAGACAGAAAGCAAACACTGCTGTTTAAATGCTTATCAATTTAAATGTCACATGTTATTCCTCAGATCACAAGGATCTGAGTCTCGTGTAGAGATGTGAATGTATTATTCTGAAAAGACAGAAGTCCATATAAAACGGTGTTCCAAAACTGCACGTTTATATCTCCTTTCATTCCTTAACCACTATTTTGGCAACATACATACAAGAAATCAGATACTTATTTGTTACATTTTATTTACCTAAGCATGCAGCAGCACCAACCATGGCATAAAGACCAGGCGTAATACAGTCAGCTCCAACTTCACACCACTCCTTGAAAATGAACCAGTCATGGTGGTAGTAAGCCAGCTGCTCCACTGCAATTCCTACAATCCTTCCTGCTATTGCTCCAATTGCCATGCTAGGTATGAACAACCCAGACGGAACCTGTAACAAAACCAGAAGTACTGCTGTCATGCTTACGGGAACATACCTGATGCATCGTTTTACAAGCCTGGTGTTTTTCCAAGAGATACAAATGCTCAAACTGTCAGATTAGAACCACCTAAACTGACCTTGCAAGGTTTGTAAAACTTGTAACTATTGACACCTCTGATCAATTTCTGGCCTATGGAAGACTAGCATTTAAAAGACACACCAGATTTCTCTTACTCATTGACTAACGTGGAAAATAACTTCAAATGACAGACTGTAACATCTTCTAAAACATCAACACATAAGAAACACAATGATATTGTTCTATCAGTTACAGAATGACAGAATGGCTGTGGTTGGGCCTGACCACTCCAAGTTGTCTATCTGTGCTCAATCTGGGTCAACTACAGCAGGCTGCCCGGGACTGCAGCTAGTCAGGTTTTGTGTATCACCAAGGATGGAGTCTCCACAAGCTCTCCGGACAGCCTATTCCAGTGTTCAACCACTCTCACAGTAAACAAGTGTCTTCTTATGCATGCAGTTACATGGAACAGCAATGTAGACTAAAAAGTTCAATAAAGCCAGTTTTAACACAAATCCTGCTTAATGAATACATTTGTGTTAAGACATGACTGATAATGACACAGTTGCAAAAGCCATGAAGAGAGCCGGACAAGACAGAAAATGAAGGCATGACAGTTATATGTCATTCAGAAAACTGCCACAGCTTGGAGAGAAGCTGAAGAGAGCTCTAAAATGAACAGAAAAAAAAACCATGCTGCTTTGCAATGGAGAAGAAATTCCCATTACAGTCACAGCACCAAAGCCTGCTTTTTAGTCATGACATGCAATGCTGGAAAGTAAAGAAACTACCATTGGCTCCCTTGGACAGTCTGCAGTAATGATATCCATACAATACATGAGGAGAGAAGATTTAAAAAACCAAAACTACAAGCTGATCAAGAGGTACGGTCTTTTCTCCTGCCATGTAAAAGGACTAGGAAACCTGAGTGGTTATGTTTGAGCTCGTCTCTCAGACATTTTAGAATCATCCTTACTGCTGAATCGGGCCCATACAAACAGCCATCCATGCACCCCGTTACTGTTCCCTATTAAATTTAGGATGTTTCTGTTCAGCTGAGAAAAAGGCTTATATACTGTTTAATACTGTTTTCTACATTACTTGCCTATTAGTCAACAACAGAAAGACCTTTTTAAAAAGAAATACACATTAAGATTTCTATACACAAAACTACTAACTTTGTGGATGGAAAATGAGAAAGGCAATAATTAAATAATCACAGCAGATGATCCAGCCACTGCATTCACACTTACCTTGATACCAAAGGTGAAGACTGTCATGATTATTTTAAATATGAGTGCTAAACACAACTGCCATATAGCTGAATAGACTCCAGTGCCTGCTGGACGGTCAGGAATATCATCTACTATTTTGCTCGCATTCATGTCATTTCTGTAGTCACACAGGGAGGAGGATTCTAACGGCCCACAGTCTGTGAAGAGCTCTTTAATAAGTTCACTGGTGTTTAGCCTTGTATATGGATTAGGAAATGCAATGACAGCTGTTATTGCTGCAACAATAATAACCTCCAGGACAGGATACTTCCCAAATTTTGTAGATTTGCGCCGACGACACCATGCAATATTTGCTCGGATGAAAAAAGCTCCCCAGAGCCCACCAAATACTCCCAGAAGAATAAAAGGAAGCAGTTCGAAAAGGTACCAAGGAGTGTGATATTCCACATAAAAAAGAACTAGGCGGCTATTACCAAAAGGATTGATGGACCTTAAAACAAATGCAGCTACTAAAGCAGCAAAAAATGATCTCCATAAAGTTTTCAGTGGGAAATAGTAACTGACCTGTAAAAGGCAATACATGAGAATTATTAGTGATTCAATTAAAAATACTGGAAAGACCATTTTATGCATGTTTTACAGTACTGCTACTGACATGGTAAATGCTAAAAACCCAGTGCTCTTATCAGTTATTATTCTCACCCCTTGGAGCACTGGCACTTCAGCACATACTACATCTTTTAAAAGCTTGACAGCAATTCATACTTACATCAATACTAAAGCACTAATAAAACCACTGCTGTTTTACGACTGTTAGGAAATAATGTGTAGTAATTTATGTTTGAAAGCTTCTCTGTTCGTAAGTATCTCTTCTGAGCATTCATGAGA